AGCCTTTTTCCAAGTCTCTTACATGGATACCATTTAAATCCGACCAAGGACCCTTATCCCATTAGCCCAAAACCCCAACGGCCCAATAAAACATGTTTTAGTGAAAAATCCTGCAGGAAGTCGTATCTGAAGCATAAACCAAACCCCTTTACACAGACACAAATTTCAAACCTAACTCGTTGCAGAGGAGTTGAAAAATTCGAAGAAGTGAAACCAAAGAGAAAGGAAGGAATCCACCGCCGTAAGACCTGAAGCTTCCTTCTCCAGCCTATCCAAGGCATATAGTTTTTTCCTCATAGTAACTCTGATCCCCTTTGTAATTGTAGCCACTGGTTTAAAAACCTCAGAATGAACCCGAGAGTTCCTCTCCCTCCATATCTCATAAACCACTGCTTGAAGAGCCATCAAGCAAATGTGATTAACCCTCCCTGAATTTGAAGCTTTCTGGACCCAATTAAYCGTATCCTGAAGACAGAGCGGAGGTGATAGCGATCTATGCACAAAAATATTTCGTAAAATCTGAGTGGAAAAAGGGCAAGAAAATAGAAGGTGCAACCTTGTCTCACTTGGTTCATCACAAAGAAGACAGCCCGAAGGTACCTGCAACCCCCATCTTAATAATCTGTCYCRAGTAGTGAGTCTATCTCGCATAACCAGCCACATCATAAAAGAATGCTTTGGTATGCCTCCATGGACCCAAACAACCTTCTTCCAATCAACTAAACCAAGTCCCGGATTTAATGCATTCCATGTTAGAGAGGCGGAGAACTGACCTGGTTCCGAGGAGGTCGAATTTTTCCACAAGAACTCATCCTRAATAGAAGAACTTTGCAATGGAACCAGAGGTAAGMAATCCTTGAGGAGAACAATGATTGAATGTCGTCCTCGAGGTAGAAGCCAGTTGTTACCATGACAAGCTTGCGCCACCGTAGCCAATCTTGGTATTCCAGAAACTCTAGGGCCGTTTGCTCCAGTAAGATCAATTAAAGGACCAAGACCCGTCCAGTTTTCATGCCAAAAGAAAGCCGATGTACCATTCCCGATTTTGCAAAACAGAAATGGCCTAGCCATTTCCCTGATTTTGAGCATTGACTTCCAAATCCAACTTCCTGACGTTGCAACAGGAATATCCCAGAAAACTCGTCCCTTTGAAAATCTTGTATATGTAGCAAAGGTTATTCAAAGATCGTTCACATGCATGACTGGCAAAACACTTGCCTCATCAAGCTTTGTGTTAGCATGACCGACACTTTATGCATCACTCCCATATTTTTCATTTGTAGCGTCCACGTCGAAATCATTCATGGTGAACCCTTTTCGAAGATTCACAAGTTCCCCAAATATCGTAGACATTGCCGGATTCTTTTTTTATATACCTTTGAATCCCTTTGAGTTTTGGATATTTACGCTTACGTTTTAAATGTTAGGTAATTTATGAGAAAGAATAAAAATTCTACTTTACGCAGTCCTTAACAGTTTAACACGTTTTGCATAGTTTTTTTTTTTGCTAACAGCACGTTTTGCATAGTTTAGAATTCATTTTTATGTTTTTATGTCTTACCCAGTCTAATATAAAGTTTACGTAGTAATTTAGAATTTGTCTTTTGTACGTAGTCAAAAATATACTTCTACGTAATTTGAAATTTGTCTTCTGCCTTACATAGTCCATGATTTATATATGTTGTAATTTGGAAATCATCTTCTATTTTTTCGTACACAATCCATAATAATATTTAAATTTTGTTTTCTACGCAGTCTAGAATATACTTAGATTTTTCTTTTAAAAAATAATTTACATATACTTAGCTTTTTCTTAGTTTTTAGCTTAATAAAAACCCTAATGTTGTTGAAAAGAAGAAGAATAAAAAGGCTTGAAGCCCATCAAGATACAAAGACATTAAATGGGTCCGTGGAGAAACCCTAAGTCCCTAGGTTATCTTTGTAATCTATATAAACTCTTGTATGCCTCCATTGTTTTTTAATCTAGTACAACACAATCTTCTCCACAATACTTTATTCTC